TTTGTAAATATTGAAATTGCAACATTCACTTTCCAAAGCATAAACTTCGTTTTATGTATCACTTTTTTTTTCTTTCTTTCTTTTTAACTTATTTTTCAATCTGGTTCTCCAGTTTAGATTGCTCAGGCCACGACAGTTTATTGGAAATTCCTTTCTCGGCGAGGTTTAACTCTTCGCGCGTTTCACTCGGACGAGGATTGGTTGGAGTGGCCCGTTTTTTCAAATGTTTGCCGACAAACGCCGTAAGGATTCTCCCACAGTACAATGAAGTCATTCAATACGGTCGATTATTGCCGAGATGGATTTTCTTCCTACCACTTTGACTATCCGCACTTTCTTATTTAGAAAAGATCCCCATCCCCCCCCCCTCCGTTTCTTCTTTTTCTTACGTAAAACAATACTAAAATTCAGTGCTTCAAATTTAAAATACAAACATGAACCTGTACGATCGTTATTTTTCATTGTTATGTGTCTCAACAAAGAATTCTATATTCTTCATTAATACTGTTGCAGCAATTATCTCCCGAATCAATGTGCTTAGATTTTGTTAAAGTTCTCCAACGTTCGTATTTCCTAGATGATTCGCAATTCAATCATTGTTAATCAGTTGTCAATTCCATCCGACAGATTCCAACAGGGGAGTTCCCTGAACTCTCGTCCGATTTTCCTTTCCGAGATCCACAGACAGACAGACAGTAGCGTTATTGCTACAATTTTACGAGTTTTTTTACGAGCCGCGATGATCGCGGCAGGCCTTAACGTCTCGAACGTTGTGGAAACAAGGTCTAACTGCCCCGACGGGTAGATGAAACTTAAACAAAACAACCGACAGAGAAGCATTAACGAGCATTTTGGCGCCGATAAGTCGGTCAGGATCTCTGTACGTTCCATCGCCGTCTCTTCTCTCCCTTTTTCCTTCATTTTCATCGTTCCCTCCTTGTCTGCCCTCTCGGCGAAGAGAAAACGGAATTTGAATTTCTCCCGTGAAGAAAACGGTATCGTGCAGCGTGGAATGAAAGTTTCTTGAATCGTTTTCATCGTCGAAACCGTTCCGACCAGCGTATCAGTTATTTTAAACCGAGAGGGCAAGAAGGAAAAGTTTGGACCCCGCGGTTTTAGACTCGGTTAACGAAGACACGCTACGTTAAATCCGCCAGCGTCTTTATTGCCGCACTGAATCTTCGTGAAAAAAAGCCCGGCTCCAAACGAGGTGCCATCCAGTCTCCTTCTTGAGAAGCTGTCAGAGTGCTCTTCTCTTCTCTCTTCTCTTTTCTTCTCTTCTCTCCTCCCCTCCCTTCTCTTCTCTTTCTTCTCTTTTCTTCTCTTTTCTTCTATCTTTTCTTCTATCTTTTCTTCTATCTTTTCTTCTCTTTTCTTCTATCTTTTCTTCTATCTCTCTTCTCTTCTCTTCTCTTCTCTTCTCTTCTCTTCTCTTCTCTTCTCTTCTATCTTTTCTTCCCTTGCTTTCTCTTTTCTTCTCCTCTGTTCTCTTCTCTTCTATCTTTTCTTCTCTTCTATCTTTTCTTCTCTTCTATCTTTTCTTCTCTTCTCTTTTATCTTCTCATCTCTTTTATCTTCTCTTCTCTTCTCTTCTTCTCTTCTATCTTTTCTTCCCTTCCTTTCTGTTTTCTTCTCTTCTGTTCTCTTCTATCTTTTCTTTCTCCTCGTTGAACGATACACACTAGTTTGGAAGATATTTCATTAGAAACAAAAAAAGAAAATCCTTTTTTTCAGTTACTCATACTTGTCCATATATTTCTAGATTTCCATTAAAAATTTGAATTACTGTCTTTAACGATGATATGAAAGAATATGCAGAAATTCCAAGCTCCAAACAGTTTCAAATTCTCTAATCGAAGAGTATAGTTTGTTTTAAATTTTTATTTTGAAGAATTTGCTTTCTCGAAATGTTTCAAGCTTAAAATGAAAAATTGGATGTGACGTAGCAGTGATGAAATTTTTGACAACAACTGCATTGAAAGAGTATAATACTGTATGTTTTTTCTTCATAGGAGGGGCTTGAACTTCCAAGAATAAACATTTATCAGTAGTACAATTGCTGCAGAAACTAAGCATAAAATATATTCCTTCACAGTTTCAAATATCCTCTTATTTATTACAATAACCAACGTGATAAGTCATTTTGGCACGTGATTGCCTTTTCTGAGAATGACCATATCTGACAAATGATGAATTATTAAACTGAAATTTTTAACAACAAGTGTGATAGGTGTTCCTTCCATTAGCCCAACTGAAATCAAATTTTCATGAATATTGAACATTGTGAACTGTGTGTACCTACTCGTCCAAATATCAACCAATCAAGTATCCAAAGCTTAAATGTCTGTTAATTGAAATTGCTGGAAGATCGGTTGTTTAAATTAAGTGCAGTATGTAATACATTCAGATACCTTCTGACAGTTTCAGACAATATGCATCATTTCAATACAGTTTCTCACATCATTGGTAATTGTCAGATTTTTATTTATTTACTCTTGTTATTTAATTGTCAAGATCTGAAGATGTATTGTTCACAGTCGTTGAAGTAAGTAATTTCAACCTCAGGCTAAGCAACTTTGAATAGATATTTACAAGATCATTACTTTTAATAAGATGTGTAGTTTTCTTTTTTTACTAATTTACAATTTTTAGAATTTCGAATTGCAGTAATTATTTTGTTATGGATTTATCTAATGAAAGAAGTAGAAATTCGTTTCACTTATTAAAAACTGTAACAAATATGCTGCTTTTGGATATTTTATACACTATTATATCCACATCCACATCTGGATTTTCGCATAAACGTGAAGAAAAATCCGCAAGATCTTCCTACATGTTTCCCATTTTTATATAAAATTCCTAGTGATACGTTGTGCTTTGTGTTACATTAGACTTTATTTAGGTATTAAGTAAGCTTTCAAGAGCATTTCGAGTGCCTTGAGCATACAGCTTCAGCAACCAAAAATCTTGTATAATATTGTACATAGTCGACGAGGCTAGAACTTATTGTTAGTTTTATATTCTCTAATAGAGAGAGACTACATATTATTAAGACATTCGTGTATACTTTGGTGTATAACTTCACTACCTTAAGTGGGCCGGATATCGCAATAATTTATTCCCTTTGTGAAACGATTAATTTGATCTAAATAATCCTGTAAATAGCTTAAGTATTAAGAATTTCTTTTAGTCTCGAGTTAGAGTACAGCAGAAATTACAAACTGCAATTCTCAAACGAGGATTCTCAATCTAGGTAATAAATTTGAAATTTTCTTTTAAATTGTTTTGTAATTTTTGTACTTGTACTAATTGCTCGTTTTAATTAGATGGATCGCTGCTACCATCCCACGAAGGTATCTTTTGTAAAATTCTACGACTCCGATTCTACACTTTTGG